CATTTTATTAAGGGCACACTATCTCGTTCAAGAACTATTTTGTTTATTTTTGTTAAATGTTTTCTGTGCTTTATATATATATCAGTAAGTTCTCTCCAATTGTTCTTCAGCTTGTAAAAACAATATTTTACGAGATTTCTAGGTCATCGATGTTTTTTTAAATGGGATTAAAGTAAATTCTCCCTAATTGACCCTCACCTTTCACACGAAAATGAACAATTTGGGAGAAGGTGATACGATTATTCGAGCCTTGCAGTTCCTTTTTATACTTGCCGATTGTTAACAACTATATATATTGTCTACTTCTGTTTACAATGGACAATTGGAGAGAATTTACTGCACCTTTCAATAATATTTCTTAGAACTTACAGTAAACTAATAGAAAATACTTGAATGATTTTATTCTATTAATATAATATCAAACGTTGTATTCAAATTTTGTTGTTTATAATTCTTGTCATATCATTGTGTAATTATCATCAAAATAAGTGAAAGTGTCAGTATTCTTGACCAACCTCGGTAATTAGGACCCTTATCCTACGCCAAGAAGGCGATTTCAATTAAAAAAAAAACACCTGGAACGACAAACAATATCGAGATACAGGGTAGCGTTATCCAACCGGTGGATCTGAGAAAAGAGAGCACCGCCTAAACCGTCTGCACCGTCTGCACCGTTTATTAGCAATTACTTCTATTTAATTATCCCGCGTTAAACGTCTCCGCGGATCCGGCCGCGGCGCAACACCTGAAATCGAATCTGCGCCCGCGGCGCGCACCGGTCTTACAATTTCCTTCCACGCGAGCCGCATTAAACCGGAAACGGCGAGTTTATTGCCGCGGCCATTATCCGCGGCCACCGCGTAAAAAGGAGCACGGACTTGTTCGCGCGTTCGTAACAGAAAGGATACCGGGCTCGAGGAGGGAAAAGGCCGGCCGCGGCGCACCGCGCGCGGATCCAATGAAACTTTAGCCGGCTGGCATCGGACTTTTCCCGAAAAAGCCCCAATTATCGTAAAATTTTATGAAAGCGGCGTCGCAACGGCACGCGGCCTCTCTCTCTCTCTCTCTCTCTCTATCTCTCTCTCTCTCTCTCTCTCTCTCTCTCTCTCTCTCTCTTTTCCACCGTTCCTCCTCCTCCCGCCCACCGCCGGCCGCGGCGTCTGATCTCCGTTCATTTCTAGCGCGGAACCTGAAATCCAACCGGGGTCCGCAGATGGCCGTGAGCCGGCCACCGAGAGAGCAGCTCCTTTATTAATTACAATTAGTTTAATAGAAGCCCCGCGCGTTCCCCACCACCGCGAAATTCTTAATTCCTCCCAGCAGCGAAGCGTACGCGGGCTCGTTTAATTCATTCCGCGGCGGTCGGGCCGCGTCCTCTTACAGATGTTCGTCAGGCTGTTCGTTGACGAGAACCTGGACCGCATCGTGCCCATCTCGAAACAGCCCAAGGAGAAGATACAGGCGATCATCGACAGCTGCACTAGACAGTTCCCCGAGTTCGCGGAGAGGGCCAGGAAGAGGATCAGAACGTACCTAAAGAGCTGTCGGAGGAACAAACGGGGCAGGGAGGGTGCGCCCTGGGACGCGGTAAGCTCATCTTCTTTATCCGACGTTCGCCGGGCCACGTGTCCGTTCTCGGATTTATGCAGAAAGCGACTTTTGAAGAAACCGCTTTCCGAATTCCATTGTTTCCAAAAAACCGGTTCCCGAATTACAATGTTTCCAAAAATCGGTTTCCGAATTACAATGTTTCCAAAAATCGGTTTCCGAATTCCAATGTTTTCAAAAAATCGGTTTCCGAATTACAATGTTTCCAAAAATCGGTTTCCGAATTTCAATGTTTTTAAAACACCGGTTCCCGAATTACAATGTTTCCAAAAATCGGTTTCCGAATTACAATGTTTCCAAAAATCGGTTTCCGAATTCCAATGTTTTCAAAAAATCGGTTTCCGAATTACAATGTTTCCAAAAATCGGTTTCCGAATTTCAATGTTTTTAAAACACCGGTTCCCGAATTACAATGTCTCCAAAAAAACCGGTTCCCGAATTCAAATGTTTTCAAAAAACCGGTTCCCGAATTACAATGTTTCCAAAAATCGGTTTCCGAACTACAATGTTTCCAAAAATCGGTTTCCGAATTCCAATGTTTTCAAAAAATCGGTTTCCGAATTACAATGTTTCCAAAAATCGGTTTCCGAATTTCAATGTTTTCAAAAAATCGGTTTCCGAATTACAATGTTTCCAAAAATCGGTTTCCGAATTTCAATGTTTTTAAAACACCGGTTCCCGAATTACAATGTCTCCAAAAAAACCGGTTTCCGAATTCAAATGTTTTCAAAACACCGGTTTCCGAATTACAATGTTCCCAAAAATCGGTTTCCGAATTCCAATGTTTCCAAAAAACCGGTTCAATCTGTTTTCGAATTTTTACAAGCATGGAAGATACAAATGTAATTAAAACACTGAACGAGATTTTATTTAAATATTTTTCAGTTTTGTCACAGTTGTGGAACCATAGAAATACGTCAAAACAAAATATATTTCATGCGAAGTAAAATATAAGTGTCCTGAAATAACTGATCAGGGTACAAAATGTAAATTATAATTTTTCTGTTTATTTAATATTTTTCTTCGGAATATCCGACTTTAAGAAACATAAAGTATCTACTGAACGATTACTTAATCTTGTCCACATTTTCAACGTGAAATTCCCTGAAAGGGAAAATAATTTTTCACTGACTTTTGAGGGCATCAAAGAGTAAAACTAGTTTTTTCGTTCTTTCGTTAGTTGTCGGCATTTCGTATCTTCGGATTTAAGATAACAAAATAAAACAAACAAAATAACCAAATTTTTTTATGACAAGACATTTGCATTCGGTTTAATATTGATCATAATAGTTTAATAAAACAAAGTAGAAGAATTTGACTCGTAAAAAGGTAAATTTGATCTCGAAAAGGATGAATTTGATTTATAAAAAGATGTAAAGAAATAACAGTGCCGCTAATAATTGAAAGCATAATTTTTATTATAAGATGACATGCAAATGAACTTATCAAAAGAGAAGCGAAAGAAAGATGTCAATGTATTTTAAAAAGGAACAATTCCCTGTGAACAATTTTGTATAATTATTCTGTGGTCTATATATAAATACTGCTACGTATTGTTTATTTATGAAGAAATCGACTTTAATGATTTATCGACCGAAAGATCCTATGATACAAATTATTTGTTTTCATTGTGTAACTAATTTTCAAAGAAAAGTTGATTCACCTTTGGTACCATCTATATGCACAACTACCAACAAAAATATATTGCACAATATTATGGTACAGATTTGAAAAATAAAAGATGATATGCCTACGTTGTGTTTAATATTGAAACAAAAATTTAAAAAAATTCAGAAGTTTATGATATTAAATTGTTCGAAATCTTGAGCGACTGCTGATAATTCTCAGAAATAACTGTCGCTTGTTCTTTTCTTTTTGCTAAAGTCTCTCGTTTTCTGTGAACTATGAAATATCATCCACGAAAGCTCAAGAATTCCCGAGGTCTGAGTCAAGTTCGAGATTTTGGTATGCGGCGATCACGTGACGCAAGTATTTCTTTTTAGGCGAGGCCCACTCCGGCACACTTGACCTCCGTGCAGGCCGAGCAAATTTTGGCAACGGCCTGCGAAAATGAGAGCGACAACGCGAAGCGCATGAGAGTTGGTATGGAACCTGTGTCACAGCCTATGCCAACACTTCCGGCGGCAACGGTGAGTAAGATTACTATGAAAATCTATTAAAACCTTCTGCACTCAGGCGTTTCATCTTCCGTATTCTCCTCTTCGTATCATTTTCTTCTGGGACCATGATGTTTGTATTCTTTACAAAGACGTATAACCGTTCTACAATTTACGCGAATTTCCGTTCCACGTGGATTTGTTTTACACGAATGAAGACCACGTAAATAGAGTCTGTAAGTATAAAAGATGAAATGTTGAGGATAAAAGCTGATCTAAGTTTTAGAAATACAAATTTACTTCACATAACTCTTGACGAAAAATAAATTATGATATTTCAGAGAGCGAAAGTAAATTTTATTCGGTGTCACTGTCGCCACACTGTAATTTATAACAATCAGCTTTCTCGTTTTAATTGACACAAACTCATCATCTTCATCGCTTGTAATAGTTAGAAGTTCAACATCATCGTCATTATCAATGTGAATTTTTTCGGATGATTTTTTCTCAATATTATGTTTTTCATTAAATTCAGTCGAAATTTGAAGCCTCCTTGAACGTTCGAATCAATGTCTGTAAATTGCACTTTCTAACTTTTTGGCTAATTCAAGAGCTTTATAAAGATTTATTGGCTATGTAAATTGATATTGCGTATGAAAAAAAACACAAACTAGCGTTACGATTTAAAGGGTAAACGTCTGATTTTCACAAAGATATTTTCACCGTAAATCGTTCGACGCACACACACACATACAGGAAAACAATTTAATCAACATCGGAATGTAATTATCGCGGTTTTAATTGGTCATGAAAAAGACGTTTCGATTTCTACTTTATTTGTCTGCGTTGAATTTCGACCAATATCACAACCAGTTCGCATAAATGATGTATGTAAAAATGAGAATGTTTTATTATAATGAACTACATACACCTGTTTGGAATGAGTGATTAGGAAGCACTGACTTACGTATGCTTTTTAAAAACAACACATGATTCATACATTTGGGTCCAGACATGTTGCACCATCCAGTTGACTATGTATGATCATAAATCAACTCCTGTAACTCGTGCGCTAGTGATAAATCCAAATTTTGCAGGTGTTCAACTAAGGCAACTTTCGTAATTGATAACATAATTACGAACAGGAAGACTCCATTTTTCTTCATTATTAGAGTCCGATTTTTCCATGAATTTAGAAAACGTACAGTGAAAAAGTTACCTGTTCCTGGCGTCATTCCAGAAGAGACATTTCTATGCGGGCACATTCGATATTCTATCGTCTTCTATTTTTTGCAAAATTTTAATTAATGTACTACCAACAACTACGATGTTATTTACAAACCAACGTGCTATTTTCTGCTTGTAAATTAAATTCGAAATATAGTTATTTCACATTTTGTAATTCTTCGTGCCATGATCACATTAGTGTAATTAAATCAAATTTGATTTGTAATTTAAATCGAAACTTTAACTTCTTAAGATCTGTGAAACGTGGAAACTAAATTTTTAAATTTCTGATAATGGTTTGACGTGTTTTTGCCTTGATCTTACTAAAAGAAAACTTAAGGAACACGTTGCAAATAATAAAGAACCTAAAAAAGTGTTGCTTTTCACAATAAAAAAATGAACTATTATATTCATAAAATTCGCCTAAATTACAAAAATGCAATAATATGATCAACTTCGTAGATATATCTTTTTATTTAAAGTAATTCAGTTTGCTTTACTGTAATTGGATTAAGTTTTCTTGCCTTTTACGATTCGTGCGTTGATTATTGGATTTTTTCATGGTAAATCACATGTTAGTTCTATGAAATGCGTGTACGTTACACGTGATTTCCGTTCCTCTTTTGAATAATATCGTATGTATTAAAACATATTGTATAATGCGTTACGCTAAATTATTTTATACGAAATATATCATTTCATACGTTTCATAGGATTATCTAGTTAAAACTAATTACAGTAATTGACGCACGGTAATCAGATCGGTGCACAGGAACGGACACGCACTAATTAGAAAAGACTCATAACTGACACATAGTTATTAACTTTTCATCTGTTTAGGGGCACACTAACTCGTTCAAGAACTGTTTTGTATATTTTGTTAAATATTTTGTCTGCATTATATACCTCGATCGCGAAAAACTTCGTAACTCGTATAAAAGACAATTTCAATGTTTTAAAAATTGCGCTATAAATAAAACGAACTATTCAATTTGCCGAAAATCTCTCGAACGTCACTTTAATGGGCACTTAACACTAAACCTACCGCGGTCAAAGTGACCGCTTTCTTATTTTGCAATTCTGCAAAGTTCTGAGATTCTTTCGTGGAGAATGCTTGAATAAGTTATATTATTGGTGCAAGTTTTGTAATAAAAACTTTACAAATTCCAAATAAATTCGGTCTTCTCACTTTTGC